TGAACGAGAAGAGATGAAACCGCGATTTTTTCAGGATAGGTAGTACTTGATGTCTACCGTATACGGTAGACATCAAGTACTACCTATCCTGAAAAAATCGCGGTTTCATCTCTTCTCGTTCATGAGAAAAAAACGAAATGTACGTTTTTCACGCGCATAACTTCTCGAACTTTATTCCAGCCGAAAAAATTTCATATCTACAGAACGAAAAGTTCGGGAAGCCTACAAATTTGGATTTATAGGTTTTCGACCACGCTCTAGAAGATAAGGCTACTTCGAAAAAAAATCTGAAATAGCCATTGAGCTTGGCTTGTTGTGGCTTATGTACAGTGGCTCCTAGACACCAAGGCTCAAAATGGGTCCTCTACCAGAGTAAATTGTTTTTCACTATACTTCAAGGTACAGAACCCGAGTTTGTTTAATTTGAAGTAGAACTGTTTGCCCGTTCAGATGAAGGGAAAAGATTTTTTTATTACTTTCTTTAATTTTGGGGAGTGTCTAAACCTCTAAAACCTTGAAATACCGTCATAGGTGTTTCAGACAGACGCGGTTTTCTACAGAACTAGTCTAATTAAAAAATTTCCTCGCTACATCCGAAGGAGTATCGAGTGCCACACAAAAATCGATCTGAGAAAAACACTAACTCTTTCTGCACGAGACACGCTAATTAGCGCTTTTTGAATAACTAACAAACATAGAGATCTGGGGTTTTCAGCAACCGAAAGAAGACAGTTTTGCCTATGGTTTCTTATGCAAAATCTTTTTCAAAAAATATTTGGAAGATCGGTTTTCTTGAAGGTCTTTAGAAACCAGTTTGGATCTTCGTATATTGAGATAGCAATGTATCAGTTTTTTTCCATAAGTATATGGTCCAAAGTGTTCTCTCGAAAACAGAAACTAAGCTACCTCTTAATTTGTCCTGGTTCAGGTGTGGCATCGCAGTTTCTGAAAGTCCCAGGATCAATATTTCTTTAGGTGTGGTAATTTCGAAAATAAATGGAAACATAGGTAATCAACCATGCTGAATCTCGCGGCAACATTTATTTTTCAAATAAGTTCCAAAAACCTAGTGAAAACCTATATGAGGTGAAATAACCCATTTTTGCTTATTTTTGAGTAAAATTAAAAAATTCATAAGTCACTCAAAACACACCCAAATTATGTCAGATTATCAAGATGTACTCTATTTTACCTGCTCAATCTTTTACTTAAGGATAGTAAAAAATATCCTTGCAGTTCGTGGAATTTCTAGAAAAAGTTTTAAAACCCAAAGTATTTTCTGTTGGTTTGTATACTGTCTAACTACTGGCTGTTTGTTTCCCATAAACGAACCTTTACATTACTTCCTCATCCGTTTGTCTATCATGTAGATCGAAAAACATTAGACTGAAACCAACAGTATTTTTTTTGCGTATACAAACGCTTAAATTGAAAGAAAGTCCTATGAACGTATTTTTGAATTCTAAAGAATTATATATGTAGTTAGCAATATAAAATTGTGCGGTGTCTAAACCAATAAAACCTTTATAGAATTGCAATTATCATTTTTTTCTTACAAGTCGCTAGAGCCATCATCATTATTCAAATATGTCGAGCCTCTTGCTAACCTCAGTGTTTCTGTTGTATTCGAAATGCGTCCTATAGAGACTTTTCACACTATTTTGAATCAGTAACTTCCAATGTAATTATTTTAGTACAATTAAGAGTCCTCATTTTTTTCTGTGCTTGATATACTTGTAGTACGAATCAAACTTAAACAAAACCAATATCCGCATCAGACAGGAAAACGTATGACAGCACCAAGCAATGTTGAGATTAAATCAGTAAAAAACCGTAAGATTCTCGTCTCTTATTTTATATTTATTGTCATTATTATTCTTAATCAAAATATCGACAGCTATGCAAACTACGAGTCAAAAACATTCAACTAAATTAGATAGACAATCTGCTTCAGCTTATGCAACTGTTGCCGATGGTACCCGTGTACACAATTCAGTGAAAATGAATCAGCTGATGGCTAGATTAGGTTCAACCCATTCACAAATTGATGGTAAGTCTAGATTTATTCTTTAATTGATTAATATTATCTACTCGGTTTTAGACTATTCACGTAGACAATCTGCTTCAGCTTATGCAACTTTTGCCGATGGTACCCGTGAACGTAAACTAATCGAACAAATTAGTGAAGAAGTAGCAGCTTGTATAGCAAAAATTGTTGCCGAAACACAATTTCAACAACTAGCATTATTACAAGACGCTAATGTACGATCAGCTGAAAGTGAACGAGAATATATATTAAAATTACAAAGGTATGTGTGAAAAGGATAGAGATGTCCAGGGTAACTGTTTACAGAACCCTTGTCCTAACCTGTGAAAAGTTTTTTAGCCTGGACCCTATCCTAGCCTTTGAAAATTAGAAAATTTTTAATTTCTAATTATTTTTTTATTTTTTTATTATTTCTTTGTTCTTTTTATATTGCCAATTGCATCAAAAATGGGTGTCTTGCATCGAATAAAATAAAGAGTTTAAAATAACTGTCGCTAGCTAGCGATCTCAATGTTGTACCGACGATATATCTCTTTTAGACGAAGCCCTGGCCCTACCCTACCCTGTAACTTTGAAGCCCTATCCTATCCTATCCTGTAGGGTAGGGTAGGATAGGGTAAGGGCGCCCTGCACATCTCTAGAAAAGAATAGATTCATTTATGTTAGCTAAACTCATTTCGTTTTTAGTTATGTTGAAGAATTGGATGGAGCTAAATCATTGAATTTATCAACATTAGAAAAAGATTTAACTTTACGTCAAGAACAAATATTGGAAAATGCACGACGACGTATTGATGCTTTGTACTAAGCATCAAAACATTTTGTACAGTCATAGTTATAGTGTTGTTTACAGGAAAAAAACTACGCTAATAGATTCGTTTTTAATAGTACTATCTACCGGTGGCAAGAGTCGAAATGCTTTTTTTTCTCGTTCTAAAAACTGGCTGAAAGTAATCGTTGTCTCTGTATTCGCTGAAACAGATGCAAACAAGAACGAACGACATTAAATGAAGTATAAAACGAGAAGTAGACACTGGGCCGTCTTTTCTCCTCCTCTCCAGTCTTGTTTAGATTTATGCTAAAATGTTTGTCTATGTCTAACTCACCTATAATGAATGCAGCCCTACATCGTCCTATGAAGTTTTCAAAACATCTTAGATATCAACTTTTTGTGCTGTAAAAATGTTTTTAATCAACATAAACGTGATATTTCGAATTAGCACATCGAATGATGTATTTCTCTAATGAATGCGGGCTGTTAATTATCTACCCTCCTCAAAACCAGAAAATATAATCAACCATCTGATCTTACACTTACAAATGATAAATGGTGCCAGTAACTGGTTAAAGGTTTATGCATCGAAATTTCGCAGCGGATTAGTAGCGATGTGAGAACGACGGCAAAGTTCGAGACACGCATAACGCGTTGAGTCTTTGTCGTACTTTTGGACTAGTATTTATATGCAGTAACCCACAGCAATCTTATTTCTTAAAAAACGTTGAGCAAAGTTTATGTAACACTGAAAAACTTATGTGTATACTAAAAAAGAATTGAGAATTTGAATGTAAGACTGTTTGCTCTTTTATTTAGTATCATTTTTTTAAAATTAAAATATTTTGTGGTATGTCAAATGACATCAAACTAAGACTGACATGAACAGAAGGTATAAGAACGAGAGCGAAATTTTAGAATAATAAAATAAGGGTGAATTTTAGATTGTTGGATTCGTCACTTCACTATGGGATGAACGGGTTGCGCAGGAAGAAAATAAAAGATATTTGTAGTTTTGAACGGACGACCAGTCTATTCGCAAATTAGGGGAAAAAAGTGAAGATGATGCGGTATAAACATATCAGAAAAAAATGAGAATCGTTTGTGTTGTTTTTCTTGTTGCTGAAGATTTGAGCAAGTCTCGATCTGAATCATAACATAAGACTCTTGTATTGCAAGCTACAACAAGACATTTCCTTCTATTGTATAGAATTTTTTCCGCCGTTCGATCTCTTTAGAATTCTGTAATGGGTATAATTTTGAGTAAAAAAGGGGCAATGCAGCAAAGAAATTTTATATTTTGTTAAAAGTATATAGAGTAAACTGGGGCAATTGGAAACGATCTTTTGCTCTTTGGACTTCTAAGTAGTATAAATTTCTTAATTTTAATTATCTTTTTGAGATTTTTTTACAGGTAGGTAGAAGAAAAAGTCCTCTGTAAGCCTATCTAAAAATTTTCAAAAACTGCCTGTCTCATGCGAACTTTCCAGTATTTTGCTGAAAGCTCTAACGAACATTTCCAGTTACCCCATTTGGGGCAATTGGAGACAACAATAGAAATTGATGGGGTAATTGGATACGCCGTGTATTTTACAAGAAATAATTCATCAGTAAAATACAATTTTCTTGTTAAGCTAATCATACTAATTAATGATTTTCGCACGGGTGAATAGATCAAATATTGCTCTACAAATGGTGAGAATCTCCAAGCTTCACTAATTAATTAGCCTGAGCTCTAATTAAAAAGGTAAAC